GGATGAATGCCCGCGGTGGCCGCGAGGGGAGCTGCCAAGCGGGTGGGTGCTGACCGCATGTCGTCTGCTTCGCACGACCAATTTGCCGGGGTCGCGTGCATTTCTGTGTTCGTGTTTTCAGCGCTATTACCGGGTTTCGTGTTTGTTGTTCGCATCATCAAAGGGTGAGTGAGAAGTTGTTGTGTTTCTGTGCCTGTCACAACGGGAACTATGAGGTGAATGATATAATATAGAAGTAAAAGCGATCGAAGGAAAGGACCTGCTTTGTACCGTTCTGTACAAGTAGTTACTGTTCAAACAAACAGCAATTATCCTTATTCATGGCCCCAACAGACAAAGCACTTCTCCCGAAATGGGAAAGATAACTAAGGCAGAAAGGAGACTGCCACAAACTGCTGTTTGTGAGAAACACTTTGATAAGAGTTTTATCGAGCGGGCATTCCCCATCACTATGAACGGCGTCGTCAACAAAATCCCTCGCGACAAACCGCGCTTCAAACCTGGTGCGGTGCCTACTATATTGCCTGAATATCCTCAGCTCCTTGTTCCAAAATTGCCAACAAGACAAAAAAACAGAAATGTTTGCCTTCAGAGTGCACATTCCAGCAAAGCGCCGCAGCGCTAATACCTCGGAAATGATTTCTGCCATTAAATAATCTTGTGCTGAGAATAATTCTCCTGTGCCTGAAGAGTGCGCTACACCCTGCGGATCAGAAACAGAAAATGTGCAAAACACTGAAGCTCGATCAGCACCCACAATGCACCCATCGACATCCATTCTGAGGCCTCAATATTCCTGTCAAAGTGCAGTCTCTGCCAGAACGAACAGTAGCGTATACGTACTGTGAAAGTGAAGCGAAGAATTTCCTGTTCATAGAAAATAACTGTAGACTTTGAAAAGCCTTTGCCCAAACGGCAATCAGTAGTTGCAACGCTATATCAAACAGGACGAGAGAAATGAAAGCAAATACTAGAGCTCAAACGTAGTGATGAGGCTGAAGCTTTCATCAAAGAAGTTTCAGTGACAGCTCTTTGTGGTGGTTGTGACTTGAAGCCAGTTTCATTGAAACACAACTCATTTCGAAACATGCTTTTTTTTTTCTGAAAAATGTTTGTTGACAGAGCACTCAGACGAAAAACCTTGCATTTTTTGCAAATACCAAAAGGTTTTGGTTCAAAACCAGGCCTGCATGAGAAAGAAAAAGGCAAAGAAAAGCACAAGAGATGATGCCAGAAAGGAGCACTGCAAGAATATTTCTTGCAATTTGTTGAGAATCAAGAAGAGACTCGCGAACGCAAATGAGCAGTTGTCTCATATGAAAGCGAAGACGCATTCGAAAGTAATATTAGGTCTCTTTCCCCAAAACAACAACTCGCTGTCAAGAGCTGCTTCATTGCCGCACCACGGAAGTTGCATAAAAATATGCAGTACAGCGATGAGTGGATTGTGGAATGCATAATGATGAAGATGCGAAGCCCGAAGTTGTATGAACATCTTCGCTAAGAAGCCATCATGGTACTGCCTGGGAGAACTTGTCTGCGAAGGTACGTACCTGCAGCGTTTCGAGGGAGACGTTTGGCCTCAGTGGCAATATTTTTAATGATTTGACTGAGCTATATGTGCTGACATAAGCTAAAGAGAAGCTTGTGCAAGTGCGAAAACTATTCGAGGCAAGTGCACGCTAGCATCCAAGGCAATGCCGCGGCCATGCACCTCGGGTAGAAGACATTAAGCTTCCGCTTTATAAATTCATAAAGCGGAAGCTTTTAATGTCTTCTGCTGACGTCATGTATAGCGGTACTATTGCATTTAATTGAAATAAATCAACCTACGGTTGCTTTACCGAACAAAAAAATGTCCCGCTTCTAGCATAAAAACGGGCAGCAGCTCCCTTGCCGATACTGTGGGAACGCAGTGGGCTATGAGAAGCGAGCGCAGCAGTGGCACCCTCCGGCGCTGCAGCGCTCCAAACGGCAGCCACAGGCATTCATCCATTCTGGTGCCACCTAGAAGGCGGCAGACGGCACACTAGCCAGTATATTTTAGGCACTATAACCCGGTCCTAGTTGATAGCGCTGAGGCTTGTCTATTACGGGTGTTTATAGTAACAAAGGTGACTCAGTATTTTTCACGTCATTGTGAAAGTAAACTGTGCTTGAACAGGCTACTTGCACTACACGACAAGCCACCATTATTTCGATCTGCATAGCAGCAAAAGCTAATTTTACAATTTTAAAATCAGTCTATTTTTCAGAATACAGTTTATACTTTCACGACAAAAAAAAAAAAAAATTAAGGTTGTAGTTAAACTCGAAGCAGGCTAAAATTGCCCTTGGAGAGCAAAAGTTGGCAATAAAAACTAAAAAGAGCTCATTGTCTAGATTCCCTGGAAGTTGTAACCTGGCTCCTTGCGACTGCATTTCACACAGAGCTCACCAAAGCTACACGCTAAAAGCAATCACGATTCCTCAGCTCTCATAATGGAAGAAACCATTTCAAAAAGCACATCACTGTCGCACAGATGCTCTTTCTTCTCAAAGTTTTAAAATTTACTTATTTCTAGATGCAATTTTGTGAAACTTCTTGGGTTTGGATTTTTTTGCCACATATTCCTGAACATGTAAAGAGAGCAATTGTATCCTATAAAGCAAATAGTTTCTGGAATTATTATGAACTTACAGTAAGCAATCAGTATGGGCTGAGCATTTAAGACTTCTCACGTCATAGCTTTTCTTGTTCATTGATTGATATGATTGATATGTGGGGTTTAACGTCCCAAAACCACCATATGATTATGAGAGACGCCGTAGTGGAGAGCTCCGAAAATTTTGACCACCGGGGGTTCTTTAACGTGCACCCAAATCTGAGCACATGGGCCTACAACATTTCCGCCTCCATCGGAAATGCAGCCGCCGCAGCCGGGATTCGAACCCGTGACCTGCGGGTCTGCAGCCGAGTACCTTAGCCACTAGACCACCGCGGTGGGGCAGCTTTTTTTGTTCATTTAAATGTATTACGCCCCCTTGAGTTGCTTGCATTTTACAGTTAACATGGAGCAATATGAGCCATTTATGACTCATAATTATCAAAGTTTAGTGGCAGTAAAGGTCTGTAGAAGAGCGCTACATTTTATTTATTTTACCCTCAAGGCACATAAAGGCATTACAGATTTTACACACCGGCATGATATAAATGAGAACTATACAACTTAGTATAAAACTGATTATATATTTGAAACCAGCCTAAAAACTTCTGTAAACAGCACAAATTTTCATTGCCTTGGGCTATAAATTAAAGAAACTTTTCAAATTGCATCTTCCCTTAAAATAAACTTTACGTGGAAACACCGCAGCTGCAGCCATAGCAAGGCGTGTGCCGGGCATACCCTTGGCGGTTGTGGTTGTAAACAGCTGGAGAGCAGGAATAGCAAGGTAGCTTTATTTTTAATAGTATGTCTTAATGTGCAAAGAATACTCCTAATAACGAAAACAATACTGAAAAATGATACAAGCTCAGCTTCCGATAGAAACTTGTTTACTGTCGAGCCACTGCTACCGAGGCTACACACCCAGTTGCAGAGAAGAGAGTTTGCACTTGCTGGTGAGTGCACTTTTGCAGCAAGTATCACTAAGCATCAGTAATGTTCCGTACTACGTCGAAGAATTCCCTTTCAGAGACATGAAAATTGCCTCTTTCAGGGATTTCATCTACAGACGATGAAATTCCCAGCAAAATTTCCTTCATAACATCACCGATTTCTGCCCCCCTCCACACACACACACACACATACTATAATTACACGTGTCTCACGTACTGGTGACTTTTGAAATCGTGACTAGCACCTCCACTGGCGCACAACAAAAGCATGACTTTATTCATATACTGTTCGTACAGTGCACATTGTACAGTGTATAACAGTATATGAACTAACGCAGGGCCATTTCTAGTGAACTAGAAATGGCTCCGCGTAAATATCGAAACATATCTCTAAGGCCATGCTTGCATGGTGCCTGCGTCAGAACCGATTACAGCTGATGAAGGCGCACTGTGACTACTATATATCACTAGTCATAGGAGAGTTCAACCATTCCTGAAAGTCCCTGCAATATCATGAAGATTCCCCTTTTCCCTTTGGCTCAAAATGACAAGCCAAAATTTCCCGAAAAAGGGCAAATTTCCTGCACGGAACATCACTACTAAGCATGTGAAAGCGTGTGAACGACCCTGCTGGTGAAGTGCACTCCCTCAAAGTGCACTTAAGTTTACCTGTGTGACAGTGGCAAAATGTAATCAGCTACTATTTGTTAATATCGCCAACCACACTGTTGTATGCAAACAACTCAAAGGTAAGTGGCGAGACTAAATAGTTGAGGCATAATGCAAGACCCATCAGTGTCTACGACGCTAGGTTATATAGCACTCAAAGCAAGCGTGATGTGATTATGGCCATCGATCGTGCAGCTTGACGGACACTCGGCAGGATGGCGAGCAGGACGATGTTCTATTCACAACACAATTTGTCGGAGAATGCAGCATTCGAACGAGTCCAAGAGGTCGACCGTAAGCACAAATCTATAGATCCAAAAAACTACCTTCTCTTTGCGAGGGGTGCAATCCGAAAAATACTACACGAAATCGGGGAAAAAAAAAACCTTAGTGAAGCAGCCTAGCTACAAAAATAAGGATTGTATCATCAGTGAGGGAATGTCATCAATAAAAAAAAAAAAAAAAAACGGCCAGCCTGAAATTTTTCCTTTCAGCCCACAGGGGTTCACAATGACGCGAGGTGCTTTATTTGAAACTCATTCCTGGGGGCTCGTCCAATGGCAGACTTCATGTTCTCACGATGGGGACAATGGCTGGAAAGACTCGCCTAGAGCAAAATGGCTACAATGCATTCCTGAGGAAAGAATGCTCTGCCCTGAATTTTTCGCCTTGAGTTGCATAGTGAACATTTTGCTCCAGAATGAACTCAACTAGACGTTTTGAAAAGACTCACCACCCAGAACGTGGTCTGCCGAAATGGTTTTTTTCTGTTGCCGATTGCAGATGTCATTGGCCTCAGTGGAAAGATGGTGGATGAACTCTGTGCAGCAGGCCAGAATGAGCTCGCGAGCCTCGTTGGCTATGCGCACGTTCGGGAGCAGCTCCTTGATCATCTTATTCATGGCCGCCCGCGGGATCGTAAGGTCCTCATCTTCAGCGCCTGCTGCCTCTGCACGGTATACAGAGCATCCATTTCTTCTCTATCTTACACAAAAACTTGTTATCCACATTTCTTATCACCCGAGCACAGCAATGACATCACTGGCTCGAACGCCCGAATAAAGGCCGGCGAAGGGATTTCAAGCCTGCTGACAACAAGCAGCTAATATCAATACTTGCACTTTCACAGCACTAGACTTAGCAAAAGGTGCTGGTGTGCAAGTGGTCCCTAGACGCTACCCTCTGTAGAAAAACACTGCAGTTTTAGCAATGCACATACCCAATGCCTTCGGTAATCTGCTCACTTTTCTCATTGCGATCAGCAGCACTGCATTTTACACATCATTTGTATGTTTCTTTCCGTCTCAACAAAGAGTGCAGATTGTATTACGAGCTCTCACCATCTGAAGATGTGAAGCTGTTAATGACTGCAAACACTCAAATATGTTTAGCAAAAGTCAAATATGTTTAGCAAAGGATGACATTTGATGTGATACCACTCGTTTGAAATGCCAAAACATTATCCATACCACATGCAAATTGTATGCATGAGCTATGCTGCTGAAATGACATAATCACCAACTACTTTCATGCAAAGATGCAGTTGTCAATATCAGATGGCGCAAAACACACTGAATGGTTTGTGCTATTTGCCCATTTTATTCGACATCATTGGCTAATTAACCACTTACATGGTACACAAGTTTTGATCCGGCTTCAAACAGTGTGGCACTTTGCATCAGGCTAGTGCATAGCCTTTTAAAGATAAGTTTCAAATATTCTCAACATCGCATCTCTCACCCATAATGCATACAAAGGCTATAGCGTGCGCCCCTCCATCATTAGGGAGATTTAGAACAATGTTTGCAGGCGCTGCGGGCATAGCGGGCATCGTACAAGTTCGAGAATAGTGTTTGCCCTCCTGCAAACCGCAATGAACAATCGCAGCGACACTAGCCTCGAAAAAAGCGCTTGCAGGCCACGTAAAGGGCCGATATTTTAGATTTCCTGCAAGCGGGCCGCGAATGCGACTGGTGAATCGCGCTACGACGCATGCGTAGTGGCAGCGACCGCACCACAAGGGCTCACGGTGCGTTTAGAATATAACGTTTGCAGGCGCTGCAGTATACGAGATTTAGAATAACGTTTGCCCTTCTAGGGAACAATATCGGGACTTTAGCTGCCCCGCAAACTCAAATGCACGGACACTACATATAGCCTCGACACCAGCGATTGCGGGCTGCACACACCGCCCGCTATTTCGGATTTTCTGCGGGTGAGCCGCCAACGGCGGCTCTCGTACGACGCATGCACAGTGGCAGCGATCGCACTGCAAGGGCTCACGGTGCGCTATTCTAAATGTCCCTATTAGCGCCCCAGTTATCAACGCTTCTGCGAGAACAGCCTTCTTGGCTGCACAGACGCTTTGTTTTGGGCAGCTTACGACATCAAGCACACAAAGCCATTCACGACACCTCATTATCACCCCCGATAAACCAAAAGTTAGTCTTGACAACAATAGTGACTTTTAGAATAGCACATCGCGAGCCCTTGCGGTGCGGTCACCTCCACTGCGCATGCGTCGTAACGCGAGTCCGCGTTCGCGGCCCGCGCACAGGAAAAGCGAAATAGCGTGCGGCGATCGCAGCCCGCGAAGTCCTGTGTGTAGCTTCCGTGCATTTGGGAACACAGTCGGGGCGAAAGTCCTAAAACTAGCGCCGAAGTTCTAAAACCAGCGCCTCCTAGAAAAAATATGCCTGGAACGTCGCTCTCTTTTCAATTGGGAGCCTCCTGCCAGCACGAAATCTCGGAGCTCATGCCTCCTGCCTTGTGTTGGGACCGGCCCCCGCGTGAGACAACTGGCCTCCATACCGCTCAGCCACGTGATATAACCGTACCGCTCTGTCACGTGACATCACGGCTGCTCGGAGGCAACCATAGAGAAACATACTTAAAGAGCACACACTCTCGTAGGGCCCTGTGGCCCAGCTAGTGCGCTGCTTTCAGCGCCATGAGTGGTTGGTCAGACCCATAATGTCTTCAGCATAAATAAAATAACAAAACTTTTTTTTATTTCAGACACTGGGATTTGAACCCATGCCCCCATGATCCGGAAGAGAGTGTTTTTACCGCTACGCTACACACCGATGCGTCCACAAAGCGAATACATCTAACCCAAATGATTGTGTGTCTTAGTGCAAAACAAATGCAGAAAGACAAAACCTTCTAGTCATACTTTACTGTTTTCTGTTGTAATACATTACATGTCCTCAGCGGCACATGATGTAGAGCAGATATGAAAACTTGCACAAATTTATAACATGTCTAACAAAACAGGCTATAACATGTCTTAACGAAAGAGTAAAAGCGAGGATGGGTACATCATCTACCGGTTAGTCAAACCCTTTCTTGCTGTGCTGTGAAAAGGCTCCTGTGGCCACTCTTTATATAGTATGTTACTCTATGAGGCAACTGTGAGAGCGTTGCTGTGTTCGCAGGGGGTAGCCGTCATTCAGAAGGAGGAGGCTGAAGTCGGAGGGTAGGGCACCGTCTTCGCAGTTCATTTTTTTTTTTTTTTTTTTAGGGGGCGTTGCTGAAACTCGTAAGGCGCCCGTTATGCCCGCAACGCCTGCAAACGTTACTCTAAAAACTCCCTCTGGGCGTCCCTAGACTTTTCCCTAGGGTAAGAAGTTTTAGAGCAACGTTTGCGGGCGTAAGGTTTGCGGGCGCCTTATGAGTTTTAAAATAGCGTTTGCCACCCTAGAGAAAAGTCAGGGACTTTCGCCCAGACCGCTAACCCGAATGCACGGAAGCTACACGCAGCACTTCGCGGGCGGAACACGATCGCCGCACGATATTTTGGATCTTCTGCTGGCGGGCCGTGAATGCGGGCGTCTCGCGTTACGACGCATGCGCAGTGCCAGCGACCGCACCGCAAGGGCTTGCGGTGCGCTATTCTAAAACTCCCTATAATCGACGCATCCTAAAACATGCAATGTGCAAAATATACAAGTGCCCGATTACGTCACACGTGGCCTCCCCGAAGATGAATGAAGCAGCGTACCTTTCTTTAGAGGAGCCACCTCGGCGTGCCTTGAATTCATTTCAGCGTAGTCCAGGCTGGTATCAACTCTCTGCGCAATGTCAACGAAAAAGCCCACTGCAGCACAAAATAGCGTGCGACTTGAAGGCGGACATAGCTTGGTCAAGAGTTCGATAACCTATTTAAAACAGCCGCACCTCAGGGCGTAGAGAGAAAGCAGTAGAAGCTATTTAGACTGCACAGCAAACGCCCATGTTCTAATGAGCAAGTTATAAAAGCCAGCTGTTTGCATAGACGCTGCAATAAGCGCCTTATTGAAGGAAGGCGCTTATTGCTGACGTAAAGCTAACCGAGGCCTAACACGCCAGCACACGGCGTCGTTTCTTTCGTTTGTCAGATTACAAGTGCTCTAAACGCAAGAGAGTGTGATCAGGAAGCTTACCGCTGTATTTCCAAACTACGTGGTGACCAGCTAGCAACTTCATAAGGAACCAAAAGGAAAACCCCACACAGACCCCCAATCCCCGGTCCACCGCGCTGCTCCCAGAGTCCGCCATTTATTCTCTGACAGTCGTGCGCCACATTGCCATTAAGTGGCGCCATCTAGTACTTTTCACGAGTACCACAGCTGTCATAAGCTTACAGAAGACGGCGCCACGTGTCTTGCTTCTAAAGTTACTCAACGTTTCCTAGATTTCCCGTGCCTGCTGGATGAGCGCGAAACCAAAACGTTGCGCGAAACGCTGTCATCTACGGCAGCACTGCCTACGTAGGTGTAAGAGTTTTTGTACTTGGCCTTTGAGATCGGCAATTTATGCGTTTGCTACTAATTTTGGAGGATGCCTTGTATTAAAAAAAGGTTGCTTGTTGAGTGACGGTGTCACTTTGTAGGGTTAATTATAAAGATTTTTATGCCGTTTTAAAACATTTTACGTTATTTTTGTTGCACATAAACTCCAAAAAAGTAAAAACCTATTTGAAGACACCTCTACTTGATGGATGGATGAAAAACTTTATTATACATATTGCTGAATGGGTGGAGTCCAAGGAGGATACATAAAACTTGCTGGAGTGGAAGCCGCTTATGCGCCGCTACGGGAGAGAGTAAAGCCGCGCCGAGCGTGCGGCGGCCATGTTGCCAGTGGCAGAAAAGAGCCGAGCGCTGCATATTTATGCCTCATCGCGCTGCGGGTGAAGTGACTCCTGTGTTTATATAAAGCAACGAAAACAAGTAACTCTGGTTGTAAATGTTTATTGCGACTTGTACGCAGCCAAGTGTCATGTAGAGAACTCAATTAAATTGCATATGCATCAAATAGCGATGCCTAAAGCAAACACATCATCGAAAGCATAGGTGCCCTACTGGTGGTTGAAAATTATTGCCCTTGCCAAAAGTGATCCCACCTTACTTTTGACCGATTCTCGGTTTTTTTTCCTTCGTCATGTATTGTATCCTCACTTTTTCGGCGATTTGCCTGCACAAACTGTAAACCTTATTATCAAGCGTATCAAAGTCTAGGACGTGCTGCTCTGGTTTATGGAACCAGTTTTTGTCGGAGGAAGCTCATAGAACTTTCAGGATGAGGTGTTTTGCTCTTGACTTCACCGTTGTGATGGAATCACTTTCAGCCTGTAGCCGCCTCATTCCTCGACTTCTTTACAGAGGCTAATGACATCTCGTGACGGTGAAACAAGACCACCTCTTACATTTAATTAAAGGTGTCAGCTCATCTGAGTGCATGGCTGCTATACACTCTTCACAGGTAGTTGCAGTTCGACCTTTCGAACAATGAAGCCTGCTATGTATGGCGCCACAGAACCGACAAAAACAGAAAAGCTTTCGGGCTAGTCAATGCGATGCGCATTGTCGTGGTCATCAGGATGCAGGACTGGGGCCTTGCGCATGTCAGTGAGATTGCTTCTTGGATCTACCATGGCTGCAGGAGTCGTTGCATTTAATACGGAGAGAACATCTTGGGAGCAGTGTCCAGAACTTGAAGACATGACTTCTGTCTGAACCAATAGACGCTTGTATGCAGCCATAAACTGCGAAGCTGTTGGGTTGTGGTTATGGCCGCCTCATCCACGTATTGATTCAAAGAAGTTTTCGGCATAGTCTTGACTGAGTTTGTCTGTCAGTATTTCAGCTGACCCTAGCTGACAAGTCTGTCAAACATTCTTTCCGTGCTTGCCATGTGTATCCAAAAACCAATGAATCCGTTTTTTTTTTTTTTTCAGTCCTTCTGTCACTGCCGAATCTCTCAGCCCATTTATGTACGCTTGAGTCTCCGCAAAAAAACGAATTCTTGAATGCTTCGCTCCCCTGCCGAAGGGGCGCTTTGTACGACCTTGCCAGCGGGTTCCTGGAGTTTTAAGATGTCAAACAAGCGATCAAAAGTTCTAATAAACGTAGATCTTGTGCTGGCACCCTTAAATTGTGGCAGCTTTAGCTTTTGTTCGCAGAAGTCCAAAGCATCGGCAACTGAGGCACTCGATCAGTTGTACAGCATATCATACCTTCATTTTCTTGCTTTTCCCATTGAACGTGGACTTTCGTAAGTTTATTTCCGAGCCACAACCCTTCGTCACGTTGAAGTGTCTTCAATGCCACTTCATAACCCCATTTCACATGATTCCCTTCAATGTCAAGGAGGTGGTCAAAGCACTCTGGCGCGAAGTGCACAGAGCGAAGTGATCTCAGTCTTTCACATTCGACTCCTCACAGCGAATGGCCCACTCCCAGAGGCTCCGCGTTACGGGATCTTTAAGAAACCTGTAAAACAAATCCGGACTGTTATGTTTTGCACGCTTAGATCGCGTCAGCTATAGCTCTCTTTAGTAACGAGCGCGGAATGGCTATGTCGAAGACGTTTTCGTGTACGTACAAGTGGAATATGAGGCCACAACCTTTTTTCAACCTGTTGGCACATCCGTGAACGACGCAAGAGGCAACCAATGTAAACCATTTGTCTTTACATGCCGACAAGGTGAAAAGAGAACGGACGAAATCAGCAGCTCGCGATGGCACTGAGCACGCTTTTTGCCACTGGCAAGATGGCGGCGGCTGGCTTCACTCCCACAGCGTCCCTTCCACTCCAGCAAGTTTTATGTATCCTCCTTGGTGGAGTCCTTAGACCTGGATCCCATTGGCTTGCGCCCCGGTCCACAGAACACCTACCACAGAACAGAACACCTTGCGCGGGCTACCAGGGCCTCTTGGACCTCCCGGTCCGGGCTGGATTGTGCCGCCTCCCATCCATCTCTACTGAAATCCCTAAAGACATCTGTTTTGGATGTGTTGCTCTGGCACTCCCATGCCATGTGATAAAGTGAGTAAGAACAACTTACTCACTATTATGGTCCAGAGTCATTATGGTCCAGTGAAGTCTATGAAGTCCAGGGAAGTCTAGCTGTACTATTCGAGGAGCTAGAGGGTGTTAAATGGGATATAATAGGGCTCAGTGAGGTTAGGGGGACAGATGAGGCCTATACTGTGCTAAAGAATGGGCACGTCCTTTGCTATCGGAGCTTGGCAGACAGAAGAGAACTGGGAGTGGGGTTCCTAATTCACAGAAACATAGCTGCAACATAGAGGAATACTATAGCATTAACGAAAGAGTGGTAGGTATTGTAATTAAACTGAATAAAAGATACAAGATGAAGGCAGTACAGGCTTACGCGCCTACATCAAGCCATGATGACGCTTCAGTTGAAAGCTTCTATGAAGACGTGGAATCGGCTATGAGTAAGGTAAAAACACAGTATACTATAGTGATGGGCAACTTTAATGCAAAGGTAGGGAAGAAGCAGGCTGGAGACCAGGCAGTAGGAGATTATGGCATCGGCACTAGAAACGCCAGAGGAGAGCTACTAGTAGAAATCGCAGAACGCAATAATTTGCGGATTTTGTATACCTTCTACCGAAAACGAGAAAACCGCAAGTGGACATGGAGGAGCCCTAATGGCGAAAATAAGAACGAAATAGACTTTTTAATGACTGCACACCCAGGAATCGTGCAGGATGTGGAAATGGTTGGCAAGGTACGATGCAGTGACCATAGAATGGTACGGTCTCGAATTCGCCTAGACTTGAAGAAGGAACGACAGAAACTGATACGCAAGAAGCCAATCAATGAGCTATCACTGAGAGAGAAAGTACAGGAATTCAGAGTGTCGCTGCAGAACAGGTACTCGGCTCTTAGTGAGGAAACCAACCTTAGCGTAGATACAATGAATGATAATCTAACGAGTATCATTACAGAGTGTGCAGTGGAAGTTGGAGGCAGGGTAGTTAGACAGGACACTGGCAAGCTTTCCCAGGAAACGAAGAACTTAATTAAGAAGCGTCAAAGCATGAAAGTGTCAAGTACAACAGACAAAATAGAACTGGCAGAGCTTTCAAAGTTGATTAATAGGCGTAAAGTATGCGATGTAAGAAGGTATAACATGGAGAGAATTGAACACGCTCTGAAAAACGGAGGAAGCGTCAAAGCAGTGAAGAGGAAACTTGGGATAGGCAAAAGTCGGATGTATGCACTAAGGGACAAAGAAGGCAAAATAACTACCAATATGGATAGGATAGTTAAAATAGCGGAGGAGTTTTACAGAGATCTGTACAGTAGCCGAGACAACCACGACCTTAATACTATAAGAACTAGCAGTAACCCAGATGACACCCCACCAGTAAAGATAGAAGAAGTCAGAAAAGCTTTGGAGAGCATGCAAAGAGGCAAAGCTGCTGGTGAGGATCAGGTAACATCAGATCTGCTGAAAGATGGAGGACAGATTGTGTTAGAAAAACTAGCCACCCTGTTTACGAGGTGTCGCCTGACGGGAAGGGTACCAGAGTCTTGGAAGAACGCTAACATCATTGTAATACATAAGAAAAGAGATGACAAGGACTTGAAGAATTACAGGCCGATCAGCTTGCTCTCTGTAGTATACAAGCTACTTACAATGGTAATTGCTAACAGAGTAAAGAAAACATTAGAATTCAATCAACCAAAGGAACAAGCAGGATTTCGAACAGGCTACTCAACAATTGACCACATTCATATTATCAATCAGGTAATAGAGAAATGCTCAGAGTATAACCAACCACTATACATAGCCTTCATAGATTACGAGAAGGTGTTTGAATCAGTAGAAATATCAGCCGTCATGCAGACACTGCGGAATCAGGGCGTAGATGAAGTATATATAAACATTCTGGAGGAAATCTACAGGGGATCAACTGCTACCATGTGCTTCATAAAAAAAGCAACAGAATACCAATCAAGAAGGGTGTAAGGCTGGGGGACACAATCTCCCCAATGCTATTTACCGCGTGCTTACAGGAGGTTTTCAGAAGCCTAGAATGGGAACAGTTAGGGATAAGAGTTAATGGAGAATACCTTAGTAACCTGCGCTTCGCCGATGACATTGCATTGCTGAGTAACCCAGGGGACGAATTGCAACTCATGATTACGGAGTTAGACAAGGAGAGCAGAAAGGTGGGTCTTAAAATTAATCTGCAGAAAACGAAAGTAATGTACAACAACCTCGGAAAGGAGCAGCGCTTCGAGATAGGTAATAGTGCACTTGAAGTTGTAAAAGACTATGTCTACTTAGGGCAGGTAATAACCGCAGAGCCTAACCACGAGATTGAACTAACTAGAAGAATAAGAATGGGGTGGAGTACATTCGGCAAGCACTCTCATATTATGACAGGCAGATTGCCACTATCCCTCAAGAGGAAGGTATATAAGAGCTGTATCTTACCGGTACTTAGCTACGGAGCAGAAACTTGGAGACTTACAAAGAGGGTTCAGCTTAAATTGAGGACGACGCAGCGAGCAATGGAAAGAAAAATGGTAGGTGTAACCTTAAGAGACAAGAAGAGAGCAGAGTGGATTAGGGGACAAATGGGGGTTAAGGATATCATAGTTGAAATAAAGAAGAGGAAACGGACATGGGCCGGGCATGTAGCGTGTTGACAGGATAACCGCTGGTCATTAAGGGTAACTGACTGGATTCCCAGAGAAGGGAAGCGGGTTAGGGGGAGACAGAAGGTTAGGTGGGCAGACGAGATTAAGAAGTTTGCGGGTATAAATTGGCAGCAGCAAGCACAAGACCGGGTTAACTGGCGGAACATGGGAGAGGCCTTTGTCCTGCAGTGGACGTAGTCAGGCTGATGATGATGCAGACGCTGAGGTTGCCTCGCGTCACCCGGCTACTTCCACAAGGGGACCGGCAGGTCTAGCCTGACGGCCCTGTCGCGGGCGCACTGGACGGCCAGGATTTGGTCATGGAGTTCTGGGCTGTGCAGAAGCGCATACCACTCGGGTTCGCTATAAGTCGGTCCAAGCGACCCGCACTCCCAGAGCATGTGTGCTAACGTAGCGGTCTGCCCGCAGGCGGCATCGGGGAATTTGTGAGGATAAATTGCATTTAGGTATGCTAACGACGGGTACGAATGGGTTTGAAGTGAGCGCAACGAGACGGCCTGTGCTCTATTGAGTTTTGAGTGCGGCATTGGGAATGCCCGCCCCGCCATGTAGTAATGATGATAATGCCTGTCTGCCATGCCTCCGGCAGCCTATGTTTGTTCTTAACATGCGTTGGTGGTGTGATGTTTAGTTTAGAAAGCACCGCCATGCCTGTTCTGGAGAGGGCTAGCCTGATTATTTGATTGTCGAGATGGGCTTTGAATAGTTCTGCTGCGGTGTTGAATGCCCAGTTGTTGGAGTCGTTCTGTAGACGTCCGTCTAGAGAGGTTCAGTGCCTTTTTGAGGGTATCGCGCAGTATGGCGTCGATCTTTTGTTCATATGTCCTGGATATTTGTAGGTTGGGATAGCTGTATGTTACAAGGCTGACTACAAAAGCTTGAAAGAGGCGTAGGAGGTCGTGTTCCTTCAGCCCTCTGTGCTTATTGGCAATCCGGCTAACCATACGGGAAATTTGGAGGCTCCTGTTCATAAGTTTCTGTATTGGGATCCTGTTGTTTCCTTTGTTGCTAAAGTATGCTCCTAGGATTCTGATGTTTCTGACTTCCTGGACGTAGGTGTCCTCTATCTTGATTTTGAGAGGTGTGGTTTTCGAATATCTGTGCCGGAAAACAAGCAATTTCGACTTGGAGGGTGAGAATTCCAGACCCGCTGCGTTACCGATTAACTAGACTGTCGAAGCTGCTTTTTGGAGGTTGCTCTCAATGAGTTGCAGTGAGCCCTTGGACCATATGGTGACATCATCTGCGTACAGGGCGTGGTGGATTCCCGGAATTTATTGTAAGGCATGCTGTAGTTTAAAGAGGGCAATATTAAATAAGAGTGGGGATATCACTGCGCCTTGGGGGGTGCCGCGGTTACCCATGGTGATAGGTTGTGAAGATAGATCGCCTATATGTATTGTGGCCGTCCGTCCTTCTAAGAAAGCTTTCACATATGCTTACATTCTTGGTCCACAGCCGAGTTCTATCAAGTTAGTCATGATGGTGTAGTGCCTTACGTTATCGAAGGCCTTCTTAAAATGTATTGCTAGGATGGCTCTTTCTTGTCGTCGGACACCTGGGGTAGGTAAGTCGATTATCTCATGTTTGAGCTGTAAAAGGACGTCTTGAGCTGAAAGAAGCGGGCGAAAGCCAAACATGGTGTCAGGAAGGATGTGATGTTCTTCTAAGTAGTCCGTAAAGCGAAGCTGTATGGCTGTCTCCATGACTTTGCCTGCGCATGACGTAAGAGATATCGCACGTAGATTATCTATGTTAACGTGTTTGCCTGGCTTGGGTAAAAAGATCATGTCTGCGTTTTTCCATTCTGCTGGTAGAGTGCCAGTTTCCCAGTGCCTTTTAATTTGATCTGTGAGGAGCTGGGTCATGTCATCACTCAGATTGGCTAGCAGATTTGTTGACACTTGATCAGCACCTGGCGCCGTGCCTTTCCGCATACAGTGAATGGCTGTTTTGATTTCTTCAAGTGAGAACTGTTTAGATGGGCTTGGGTTATCGGGTCCATTGTAAGCTGGTATTGGGGTGGGGTCTACTGCTGTGTTAACGTATTTAGGTGCAAGGGCCTGAAGAAGGTCGTCATTTGTGCCTTGGAAGCTATGTACGACTCTGTTGAGAGTTCGCCGAGTGGCACCCCTGGTAGATGCTGGGTCTATGAGGTGGCGCAAAATGTGCCATGTGGCCTTCGTGTGAAGTGTGCCCCTGAGAGAGTCACACTTAGTTAACCAGTTTTCCTTGGCCAAGTGTGCAGCATACTGCTCTTCTGTGTTTG